TGAATAACACACAATAATACCTGAATAATACTGGAAAAATATTCCTTTGTGTTACCAGACAGATTTTATTTTTTTTTTTGTCACCGTCATGTGGCGTGATTTCATTGCACTCCGCACATAACTCTACATGTGGAGTCCTGATGTCGTGATTTCATTGCACTCCACACTTAACTCTACGTGTGGAGTCCTGATGTAATATTTTTTCCATGGTGAGAGGCATTATTTGAAATTATTCTTATAATATATATGGCCACCCTGTAAATAAAATTTAATATCTTTTAAGAAGATTTACATAGATATCACCAATTTCCTTTGTATTCACATATCTAACACATTCAAATTTAATTTTTATTTCTACACCACTTTACCTTTGCTTACAAAAGTTAGTAATAATAATAGTTTTGAAAGAAAGATTTAAGTGTTATAAATGTAAAAAATGAAATTTTACGTGTTGAATATGTAAATACGTAAGAGTTGTGTGGTGTGTTTTATATTAACTTATATGAGACAAAATAGCGCAATTTGAACACTAAATCATATATGAATTTGCCCTCTCCTAATAACAAAGTGTGTTTCACTATTCAAGTTTTCTAAGTTGTTCATTTCAATTGAAAGGCTAACTAGAATGAACATTTTTTTTTATCTTATAATCATTTTCATGATTATTATTGTGTGTAAGGCTGTCAAAACGGCTCGTTGTTCTCGAACGGCTCTTGTTCAGCTCATTCGCTAAGTTAACGAGTCGAACATGAACAACACTAACAAATATTTGTTCGTTCGTGATCAGCTCGTTTTGGATCAAAATACTACTAATCAATTATATATATATATATGATGAGTAGTATTTCTAAAAAAATTAATTCACTACAACGCTATAAAGATTTATAAATAGAATAAAAATTAATAATTTAGATTCAAATGATGTTTTAAATCTTGTCCCAATCCTTAACATCTTATGACTACGTGATTAAGTTTGTCAAAACGACTCTTCGTCCGTGAACGGCTTGTGTTCGACTAGCTACGCAAACGAGCCGAACATGAACAGCAAACGACGAACACACTTTTTGAGCTCGAAATATAAACGAACCGAACAAGATTGAGTCTGGGCTCGCTCGTGTTCGGCTTGTTTACACCCCTACTTATCGAGCCTTAATTTTGTGTGATCAAACATTTCAGTCAAAGCTATGTATAAACATTTAATCATATAAAACTTATAATAATAAAAACATTCAGTATTTTTATTATAAATACAACAATGTTAAGACTACTTTCTAACTATTTTGTGACAAGAGGAAATACCCAACAAATCATTTTTGCCTACAACCATATGCGGAGCTCAATTGTTGGCTTCTTTTTCCTTGGATGAGTGCCCATTCTATAACTCATTCCCTTAGAATTCTACACTTTCTTTTGAGCCAATGATTGGCATATTTAGATCTGTGTTTGATTTTGACAGTGAGTCTTTGTATTCAGTAAATCTCTGCAAATTCAATTTAATTTCAAATTAATATATATTATTATAAAGTCTAATGTATTCTACAATACTTCTCTTGGCTTTATTATTCAGAAGTTGAGCAATGGTAGCCCTGGAGGCACATATCTCTCAAATCAGTTCTCATATCATGGAGGAATGGCATCTCCGAATGCTATGTTGCATGTGCACCCAATGTATCAGCCCCATCATCATCATCAACAACAATACCAACCTCTAACCATGGGATTCTCTGCTGCACACTTTTTCCCTGCAGCAACAACTGGAGCAATCGCTGTGACGCCCACCATCACAACCAAACCCAAAATAGTTCCTTCCACTCCAGGTACAAATAGTAATCATAGTAAGATATTCTAATTGAATTTACTAATGGATTGAAAAAGATAACCTGATGATATATATATATATATATATTGATATTTATTATTCAACTATGAAGATATTTTAATTTTAAAGAACTACGCACTCCTCTGGAGTAGTTTCCAAAGCAATAAGAATTATGATTGCATGCCAATTTAATATTTATAAGGAACAACATCCAAATTTATTGTTCCAATCTAGGGTGCGTTTGAGGCAGTTTGTGCTTATCCAGATAAGCAGCTTATCCTGAAACGTGACCCACGGGGTTCAACCTGCGGTCTGCATTTAGTGTAAAAACTCAACCGCGTTTTCAGATAAGTTGCTGGAACGTGTTTTCCAAACGGTGAGACAGTGTTTTGAAAACGCTGCCCGCACATAAGCTGCCCCAAACGGGTCCTTAATCAGCTTATCATCAGATTATTCAATAAGCTACAGCTGCCCCAAACAGATTGCTAATTTATACCTCTGTCTCATCCTCAAGCTCCTAGGTCTATTTAATTCCCTTTAAATATGAGGTAAATCATTTTGTTTCTTCTCATATAATCTTTTTACTAATTGTATTGCTATGAAATTTTTGGTACTATATACGTATTTGTAGAGCGATACATGAGAAAATTTAGAAATTTTCTAAAATGGAGAATTATGCTTCTTTTGTGGCTAATGCAAGAACAGTTTTCTTGGCAGTGGAATAGCACACAGGTTGCAGTTTAATACTGAGGAGAAAAGGGTCAAAATGACATAAAAGCAGCAACCGAAGCATTGCATTACCAGAAGAGGATTTATTATTTCTAATTTGTTTCATTGGAATTTAATCAAATTCGTCTATTCTAACGTACATTACTATGTAGAAAAGCTCAAAGCAATTTTCTGCTTAACTCCTTATTTGCGAGGTGAAAATTTTTTGGATGGAGTTAGTAGAAAAGGTCAATATGAATTGTTTGTACTAAATAACTATATGATACGAATCGTCTTCTATGATTTTAGTGTTTGAAGAATATTTAGAGTGATTCATTAGTTCCGACTTATATCATACACTAATTTTGCAAAAATAAGTACTTAATTAAATATACAGATGCATTAGGTGATATGGCACTAAGATAAAGGAAAGTGGGTGTTGTATGAGAATATTAATTTCGAGCATGATGACTTGAAGAACTCCACAAACAATTATCATTAAGAGCTTCAATCATCAAACTACAAAAACACTTAAAAGCACCCACATGTAATTGTGAAGAGTAAAGGCACATTACTAACCTGAACATAAAAAGTTTACTCTATAACATTAGCTTATAATTATTCAACTATTTAGTCTTCACATCAAAATGAATGCATAATAAAATAAGAATGTGTTCAAGAAAATAAAAGAAACTAACTTATAGATATTAAGGATATAAATAATTCTTACATAAGCACTCAATTGGTCTACTTCTACACACAAATGTCTCTTTGCTTAGAAATTTATCATCTCTTTTGTGGTGGAAAAGCTCCTCCTTAATAATGGAGCTGCCCACAATGCTCTCTTGAACTTAGCTAACATAATTGCAACATGTATCCTCAAGGGATAAGCAAATTTAAATATCCAACTATAGAATTTAATACTTTATCAGTGTCTTCTAATTTACTCTTTAACATGACTATTAAAAAGGAAATAAAATTTGGAATAAAATTATTATAAGATGTAAAATAAAAGTAACATGCAAAATACATCAAAGATTGAGAGAGAGATCACCAAAAAAGATAATTAAGAAACATTAAGGTGAATGGTTGAAATATCTCAATTTGTTTTTAACAGTTAAAGCCTTTTTCAAGCCATTAGAAAATCATCATAAGAAAGGGAAATTTAAATGCATATCATACAATTCTTATGTGTTTGCATATTTAATATCTAAACTTTTATATTTACATTTATAACAGTTTGATATCATAAACTTATGCCTAAAAAGGTGGTTTCACTTTAAAAAAATACAATTGTTTTTTATATGATGTTAAAGATTTGAGAGCTATGCATGCAAATATAAAAGTTTAGGCGCTAGATATTTATATACATCAGATTTGTGTGGTTTGAATGCAAGTAAGTTCGAAGAAAATTAATCCTTCAAAGCAACTCCAAATAACTCCTTTTTATGTGAAATAAATTTGACCTTTTTTGAATATTCAATTATCAAATACATTATTACACATAAATATACACACAACTAAATCCTTGGTAAGTAAAGTCGAGGAATAAGATAACAGCCAAAAACTAAAATTTTGAAATGCTCATCCCCCCTAAAACTGAACATTCTTTGTCAGAGATTGCTAGTTTGGAGCGACGTTCTTTGAATATGTTGTTGGATAGGGGTTTGGTAAAGATGTCAACCATCTGATCTTTAGTGGTAATGTTTTGAACAGTAATGTTATTTTGCTGAATATATTCTTTGATGTAATGGCAATCAATTTCAATGTTTTTGCTCCTAGCATGAAACATTGGATTGCTGGCGAGAGCAATTATCAAAATGCTATCGCAATACAGGATAATAGGTTAAGATTCTAGAGTTATGAAGTCTTGTAGTATGCATCTCAACCAAACAATATCAGTGTTGGCCGTAGCAAAGGCATGAAATTCGACTTCAATAGAAGAGCGAGCTACAATTTGTTGCTTTTTAATTAACCAAGAGATGAGAGTAGATCAAAGAAAAAACGCAATAGCCTGTGATATACTTGTGATCATAAGAATTCCCAGCCAATCAGAGTCATCAAATACTCAAGGTTACATTGGATATGGGTAAGCTAAAGTTTTAAGTGTCATGAAGATATCAAAAAATATGATTCAGCTGTTGAAATTTATGTTGAATAGGTTGGTGCATCACTTGACTCACTTTATTTACAACATATGATAAATCATTTTGAGTAATGGATCCAACAACTTTTTGATAGAAAAAGGGATCCTAGTAGAAAGTTAGATCGGGTCTAAGATTATTTTGGTGGGAAGTAGATGGGTTTTGGATAGGTTTTGCATTGATCATGCCAAATATATGAGGAATTTGATTGTCATAGGTTGCTTAATTAAGGTGAAGCTAGATGGATTGGAAAGAGTTATAAACCTAAAATAGTGGAGATGAAACCCAAGGTTTTTATCTTAAATTGTTGTTGAGGTCTTCGGAGGATGAAATTGATAGTTTCTTGATGATCCCCGATAAAGAGAATATCACCAACATAAATAAAGAGAGATGTGAACATTATTCTAATGATAATAAAATAGTCATCAAAAGAATTTTTTTAAAAAAAGGGAAGAATTCCTTCAAAATTATTGGGGCATTTACATACATACCGGATAATTCTTATATATTTACATATAACTCTAAACTTTCATATTTATATGCATAGCACTCAAAATATTAATTGCTCATCAAAGAATACAACTTTCATCTACCTTTTTAAAAATGAAATACACATTTTCATGCATAAGTTTGACACCAAATTGGTACTAATATAAATATGAAAGCTTAGTGGTTGGATGTGTAACTACTTAAGAGAAGTGTGGTATGCATTGCAAATATTCCAAAAATATATTGATGGAATGTAAGAAGTAATGATGCAAGCATTTCTAGACTGAATCAAAACGAAAAATTCTATCAAAAATCAAATAAATTCAGTTTTTGTATTCAACATACTTGAATCATGAGTTAAATCACAGATCCATACACACTAAAGTAACATTGGAACTTCACTTCGCACTCTTAAAAACTGTACTCTTCATCTCAAGCTCAATTTACAAGTGCTTCAACAATACACTAAGTAATCCAATTGCAATCATAATAGCTAACAGCATTACAAACAAAGTAGTGATAGCATGCCTTTAGATGTAATATGAAAGATTGGAATATGATAAATGTAAAAATCAAATTAAAATGTAGAAATGCAAATACATAAAAATTGCGTGGTAAGCATTTAAATACCTCTATGAATAAACTTGACCACATAAAACGGACGTGAAAATGTTAAGATAACAATGCAGACCGAAAAAAGGGGGCATTTACAAACATACCGTCAAATTCATATGTATTTACATATCAAACACCTAAACTCTGTCTTATGCATTTCGACACCTAAATCCTTCATATCAGATTAAAAATACCACTATTTTAAGTCTTGAGAAAATAAAATGCACCGTTTCAAGCATGGGTAAAGTGGAATGTATGTGAAAGTTTAGGTGTAAGATATGTCATGCATGGACATTGGGCGGTATGGTATGTATGTAAATCGTTCAAGAAGTAAATAGAGAAATTGTAACGCAATTTCACTATTTATCAAATCAACCAAACTTCGATAAACAAATTCAACATAAGCTAGCATATGTTCCAAAAAGAGAAGAAAAAAACACCAAAATTGTCTCTTTAATGGATAGATCTTAAAGAAAAAAAGTAGGGGTAAAAACACAGAAGCTAATCAATAATAAGTTCCCCAAACATTGAAGACTTGGCCAGACTAAGATCTGGGCTTTTCCTTCTCTTTGAAAAGAGCCAGGAGAGACACCAGAAACCTTCACAGCCTTGAACCTAACTCCGGGAATATCTCCTAACTCCGGGAATATCTCCCACAGCGTGCCCTTTACGACCAAATCCAGCAATCAATACTTCATCCTGTATAACATTATATAAAGACGTATTTCTTAGCACATTTGAAGCTAAAGAACATTTTGATGCAGCTAGATTAGAAATATATTAAATTTACTCGTACAATTTTCAATGTTAGTTGTAATTTCATTTACCGCAAAGAAAAAGATATTATTTAAGTGGACAGGAAAAAAAATTTGGTATTGAATTTGCCAACAACAAACCTTCGTTAAAAATAAAGAGACTACTCATACCTTGACATCAAAGGATTTTTTTTCTGAATTTTAATGATGTTCTAGAGGTTTTATGGCAAAATTTGTCTATTATTATTGATGACTTTGGGCTGGGTTTTCACCCCTTTGTCTCTTCAACCAAGGAAGAATGTTTCCTTAATCTCCAGCAGCAACTGAACTTATGAAAATTTCTTAATGCTGAGATAATTGATACGGCACAAAAACTTTGATTATATTTATTTGTAAATTTTTTGCTTTTATTATCACTGAACTTATGAATAACGAGCCAATGATTCCCTCAATATAATTTGATCTCCAACATAGTTAGCAAAAATTGGAGGATGAATACAATGTATTTCCTCCAACATCGTTCTGTCATCGATTGTTTGCCTTTCCCACAATTCTGCATCTATTTCTTCTCCTCTCTTATTCCTCTGCGCTGTCTGTGGGAAAGTTTTAATCCCACAACTAAAGCATTTACGTAGTTTACTACATAGCCACCAGCACAATATTCGTGACAATGGAGCATCCCGCTCTAACACTCATCGTTCCAGAGAGCAGTCAAGAAGCCAAGGGCGGTATACTTCTTCATCTTCCTGCCCTGGAAGACGCTATCCTGCCAACGAAGGCGTTTTGGATCCTTCTATAGAAGATTGAATGCGTAGAATGGAGTAGTTTCAACTAGAGATCCTATAGCTCCTACACGAGGCTCAATAACTGTTGTCTACACCATTGGATGAAATTTGTTTACCATTAACTTCGTGACCTACGAGAAACTCGTACCGGCCCGCCTCCTCGAGAAAGAACACTTCCCCTGTTAGGCATGATGTTGAACTCCAAGATACCGCAAGTTCTACTCATCCATCTCGTGTAGCTCACCCAACATCGCCACATCTTCATGTCATTCCAGATGATTTCATTCGTAACGAACTACGACGTCTCGTCCGGGAAGAATTTTCCTTAGAGAAAAAGGATCACCTCTCCACTCATCGTAACATCCATGAATCCTCTCCCTTAGTGGATGTGGTCCTCTAACACCCCATCCCAATTGGATTCAAGCTTCCGAACATCGATACATATGAAGGGATAACCGACCCCTGCGAGCATATTG